CCCAAGTTTCATTTGTCCTTGCTCCCCGCCACGGCCGCGGCGGCGCTGCCAGGCTGGTGCGTGGCAGCGAGGTAGGCAAAAGTGAGGCCGACCGAAATAAAAGAATCAACATTGAAGCTCCCTCGCACGACACTGGGCGGGAGTCGGGACTGGCGCGCACTGGCACTAAGGCTAGTGCCATTTCACTCTGACACGCTAATCTTGAAAACGTCTCCATGTCCAACGGACGGAGCTCCGTGTTGCTTCCAGCGCCCTCCCCCGCGCTCCCTGCGGCCATGGCCGATGGTACTAGCATGGGAGGTCATCTGGCTACCGCGAGAGCGACCCAACTCGTCGACATCGTCCGATGATGGTGCCTCAAAGTCAGCCTTCGGAGGCTATCGTGGGGTCGAGCAGGCAGTAGCCGTGACATGTGGTTCCACCACCCCTCGTAGGCTTTGCCTCTGACCGCCACCATTCCCAGGCTGCCTAATGGGATGAAAAGGAAGGCTCGGCGAGCGTATAGAAGCGTGCTCGACCTAGTCGTGGCAACCTGCACGGCAGGTGAGTCACGTCGGCGTCAAAGGAGCGACGTGCGACCTGTCAGAGCTTGATCTCCGATCTCAGCGGCGTCGAGTCGTCTCCGGCGGCGACAATTTGGTACATCTCCAGGACGCGCAGAGGCAGCTGCGATCCCGTCGAGTGGACGGCAGCACACCGCGCCACACCGCAAATGGTCAATCAAGGTTTATGTATGTAAAAGAGGGATCGGCTCGATTGGACGGAGGGTGGACGCGTCCAGGGGGGGTCAGGGGGGGGTTCGAGGGGGTGGGGTATCCCTTCGACCAAAAGCGTGACAGCTGCGGAGGGGCTGGAGAGCGAGTCGTAACACATCGGAGCACATCGGAACGCCCCTGCTAGCGACGCCTGGGCGGCGATGATGCCGCAGGCGGCGACCGCGGAGCACCGCGGGGACGGCGTCGACCGGCGTAACGCCCACCACGAGCGATCGGCCCGCGAGAGGAGCGAGCGCGAGGCGGGAATGAGGGCGTTCGAGCCGCCGCCGGACGAGGAGGGGGCGGTGGAGCACCTGAGCGCGTCCGTCGTGCTCGCGGCGGTGGAGGAGAGCGGGCCCAACTACCTGCTGCCGAAGGCGCCGGAGCCGGTCAAGTCGCGCCGGAAGCGGCTCATGGTGGACGAGGCAGCAAGGCAGGCGGGTCAGGCGATCCTCGAGACGGGCACGCGAGTCGAGATCTTCGCGGAGGATTCGGGGGAGGAGAGGTGGTGGCCGGGGACCATCATGGAGCGGACGGAGGACACCGACGGCCGGCTCGTGCACCGCGTCCAGTACACCAACTTCGAGGGCGACCGGTACTGGCACGTGCTCGACGACGAGCAGTGGCGCAGGGTGGCGGACACGGGGCCAGAGCTAGAGCACGCCCGCGCTGGCGCTGGCGACGCGGCACTCCGCGACGGCGCGAGCTTGGCGGCCTCCAGACCAACAAGGTGGGACAACGCCCGGGGGGAGACGGCCGGCGGGGCGAGCGAGACGACCGGCGGGGCGGGCTCCGCCGAGACGACCGGCCAGGCGGGCTCCGCCCCTGACCTCAACTGGCCGGGGCGGAGGAGGGTGCGGCGCAGCGCCGCCATGGAGCTGCTTCGCACGCGGGACGAGGCCGAGCAGCGCGAGGCCAGGCGGCCCGACGTCGCGCCGATGCTGACGCCACACAGCGCCACGCTGTCGCGTCATCTCGTGTGGGTGCGTCGCCTGCTGAGGGAGTACCTCGCAGAGCTGGCGGAGGACGGCCTGTCGGTGCCGATGCAGCGCACTTCCCGCGGCCTTCACCCGACCATGCGGTGGACGGTCGAGTTCGGCAAGTGGCTGGCCACGTATTTCACAGTCAGTTCTGGGGCATCAATATTGAGGCGGAATTTCAAAAATCTACACGTGCCACATGCATTACGCACACGCGCCTCGTTCCGAAACTCTTATGCAACGTTCTCGCACGACACTGGGCACGGGACTGGCGCGCACTGGCACTAACACAGCTCACAGGTACACCACACCGTGAAAGAAACCATCACCGTGTGCATCCCTCATCCTAAAATACCAATCAAGGTTTTGTAACGCGATCTGTGCCACTGTGAAATGGCACTAGCCTAATACGATACACAGGTACACCACGGGAGCCGCCTAAGCGACTCCTGCGAGGGCGGCGAGGCACTTAGCTCCGTCCGTGCACCCGCCCACCCCCGCCACAGGCAAGCTCATTCACAATCTGCTCTGCGATGGCCGTGTGAAGAACGACTGAGATGCGCTGCTTCTGCAGCCCCAGCCAATTCTTAGTGGTCCAAGTCACCTGTGGGTTGTGTTGTCTACCTGTGCAAGCATTGCAACGTTGCAGGACGCGACGTGGTGCACGGCACCGTCAACAACAACATGGGTCGAATCTATGGGGGCGGGCAGTATCCCTGTGTGCAAGTGCTCAATCCCCCAAGCGAGAGACCCCCTGCCATCCCCCAATGGAGGAGTAGAGCAGGTTTTGTGTATGCGGTGTCCTTGGGTCTGCGCCGCCAAAATAGGGCATAAAAGTAACAAGAGGGGAGCACCGCCGGTCCTCCTCGCCATTGGCGAAAGGGCCCCCCCCGGGAGCCCTTCGAAATCCTGAAAAAAGGCAAAAAAGTGGGGGCGTCCCCGCACGGGTGTGAGGGATGTCTGTGAGCCCGAGAGCGATATGCCATGTCCGCCTTGCGTTTGTTTCATAACATCGAAGGCTAAGCTCAAAAATAAAAAAGAATTCTTAAGATACAAGCCTCTCTCACAGCACACTGGCACGACAAGGGCGCGGACTGGCGCGGACTGGCACACACACAGGCTCACCACCGGAGCCGCCTAAGCGACTCCGTTAAGAACGGCAATGCACTCCGCACCATGCACAATGGTACAGGCCATAGTAATCAGGTAATCCCTTTCGCGGCACTGCCGTGTTCGCAGGATTCTTTGTTTTTT